CTCCTTGTCCTCCTTTTCTCCCTTTGGGGGGGTGGCGCGAGAGCGCGAAGTTATTCGCGCTTCGCGCTTCGCGCAGCGCGAAGCGCGAAGTTGGGAGCCCTAGGATAGGGCGCGTCGAGAGGGTGCCACGAGAGGGCGGTCTACTCTGTAAGAACGGTTTTTTGAAGGCAGACCTGCCTTCACAAGAAACCGTTCTTACAGGGGAGGCCTTCCGAGAGGCCTCCCTGCCTCCTCGAGAGGGCCGGCCTTCTCGCCCCGACCCCTTGCGCGCGCCGGCAAGCACGCCCCACCCCCCTGAGGCCTCCGACGTCGTGTGATCTTTTCGGCAGCGCGGGCCCCTGGAGGTCCTTGTGACCACTTTCCCCGGGGCTGGCTATTCCTCCTGCCTTGCCTTGGTGGGCCTCGAGGGGCCCTTGCCGGGGGCCCTTGCCGGGCTCGTGACAGATGATTCGCGACGGGAGGTTGAGCATCCCGTCGCGACAGATGTCTGACCGTGCGAGGAGGTGTGGTCTCCGGGTTAAAACTCGGGGTCGACCCCCCGCGGCCGTTCGGCACGATCCGGGCACCCCGACAGCGCCTTCGGCGAGGCGCAGCGGTCGGTCAGCACATGGAGGCTGGAAGACCTCCCAGAGTGCTCGAACGCGCTCTCGAACCTCGAAAGCCCCGAACGACCCTTCTGAGACGAGAACCGAAGCCTCTCGTCGCCTTTCTTTCCCCCACAGACATCGGCAGATTTGCTTTTTGTCAGCCCGCGGTCCCAGAGCTTCCGGCCGCTTCCCCAAGGGGTAGCTCTGCGTCCCACGCCACTTTTGATGGCCCCGGGGCCCGATCACGTGCCCCCCTTCCCTCTGTGGGCCCAACCGACGCTGGGGTGTCGAGCGCTTCCGCCGGGATGCGCTTCGCCGCAGGCGCCCCTCGAGTTCTACTCCAGCGGGCTTCCCTGAAATCTGACCTGCCTGGGTGGGTTTCACATGTGGTTGCCCACCAGATCGGGCGAAGGGAGCTATGCACATGCACCGATCCTGGCAAGGCCCATCCTCGACCCAGGATCGGTGCAGGTGCCTTCCCGGCCAAGGCAGGAGGGCGCATGCACCGATCCTGGGCTCAGGATGGGCCTGGCCAGAATCGGTGTATGTGCATAGTTCTTTTTTCTCAGATGGTGTGTCGCCAAGGCCGCCGCCGCGACACGCTGTCCCAGAACAAAGCTCATGACCGTGAGCCCCCCCCCCCCCCCTCCGAGCAGCTGGCATCATCCAGGGAGGGCGAGAATCAGGACTCGAGCAAGGCCGCGCTCCGCTGGACCTCCCAGGGGCCGAATGTTCAAGGACATAGTTCCCTTTCCTCTCCCAGGGGCCGAATTTTCAAGGACAAGCTCCTGGATCGAGGCATCCCTATCGTGGGTGGGTTTTGGGGTGCTCTGGGCACGAGGCGCGGAGGTCCCTCCTCCCTCCTCCCTCCTCCCTCCCCCTCCTCCCTCCTCCTCCTCCCTTCTCTCTCCTCCCTCCTCCCTCCTCCTCCTCCCTCCTCTCTCCTCTCTCCTCTCTCCTCCTCCTCCTCCTCCTCCTCCTCCTCCTCCTCCTCCTCCTCCTCCTCCTCCTCTTCCTCCTCCTGGCTCCTGGTGCCCTCTAGTTTTATGTCGGGCCTGCCCCCCTACAGGGGGATTCTCGACGAAAAATAAAAAATGCCCCAAACATGCACCAACAAGGTCAAAACATATTCAAAAAATAGTCCCCTGACTATTTTTGGATTATTCTTGGGCTATTTTTTTTTTTTTTTCCTCGAAAATCCCCCTGTAGGGGGACAGGCCCGACTTGACTCTAGTTTGTGCTCCGCTTTTCCCTTCCAGGCCAAAGTTCTCTACACGAGTTTACCTATTGCAGGCTGGCTTGTGGGGCGTTCCAGGCTTGCCGGGCGGCTGTCTGACCCGCACTGTGCGCACTGCCGAGGCGTCAGTCCTGGTGGATGTTTTGATCGAGAAAAAACGACGCGAGGAGGTCTCTGGGCGGCCTCCGCAGGCCCGAGAGATGGCCCGCTCCGTCGCCGCCACCGCCGCGGTGCTCCTCGCTGGCTGCTGCGCGCTGGGCGCGCTCTCCGGCGTCAGGGGCAACCTGAGGGGATAGGGTTAGGGGGGTATGCATCGACCTTCCTCCTCCTCCGCCTCCTCCTCCCTCTCTTCCTCCCTCCCTCCTTTCCCCCTCTCCTCTCCCCCCTCGATGGCCTAAGAGGGCCCTAGGGCGGCCCAAGAGGGCCCCAAGGGACCCCCAAAGCTGCCTCCCAGGAGGCCAGGACAGCCCCAAGACCGTCCAATCGCCCACGGATCGCCGATGGGGGCGCGGGAGCCCATCCCCGCCCAACGGAGCGTGCGGATCCGCTATCGAGGGCCTGTCGCCGACTTCTCGGCGACGCGTCGCCGGTTCAAGGCCGATGTTTCCCCCCCCCCCCCCCCCCCCTGAGCTGGTCACCTGGTTGTCCTCGGGCCGTAAACTCGGGCCCGTCCCTCTACAGGAGGTAGTCCAAGAGCAGTCTGGGGACGATTTCTGTATTGTTGTTTTTCTTGGCCATTTGGGGGGTATTTTTTGATTACTTTTTAAAGCATTTTCCGTCCAGAATCCCCGTGCAGGAGGACAGGCACGACCTACAGTGCCAGTCTCCCCCCCCTTCTCGCTGCCCCTCCCAGGAGCCTTCGTGCCTCCGCCGGCGGCGAAGGCCGCGCCGCCCGCCGCCGCCCTGGGCGCCGCCGCGCTCGCGGCGCCGCTCGCGGCGCACGCGGAGGGCGACGGCGTGTGGATCCCGGCCCTCTCTGCGGTCGGCGGGCGAGGAGCGAAAAATGCGAGGCTTCCGGGCGTCTTCGAAGGCCTTTCGGTCGGGGGCGGAAAAGAGGGGGGTGATGACTAGGGGTTGTGGATATCATGGCGTGGGCCATGATATTCCCCCAGATTTCATGGCGCCTCTTCTTATTTCATTACGGCCCTGGCCCCCCCGCTGGGCCGCGCACATGCCGCCGGTCATGATTTGCACCCCCTCTCTTGGACACTCCCCTCTTTGCCGCTCCCGAGAAAAGAACGAGGTTTTCGGGCGTCTTCGAAGGCCTTTCGGGGTGAGCACGCCACGTGAGTGAGGCCTCGCCCTGTCGGGCGCACGTGCTGCTTCCCTCGGATCGTGGCGCGCGCGTGTGTGGCACGCTGCCGACTGCCACCGCCTACGCCCTTCATGGGCTCGCCTTCCGGCGCACGGGCCTGACCTTGACCCTGACCTTCGAAGGCCTGCGGAGGTTTCCGCGCTTCGGGATGCTTTCCAGCAGCTGCACCTCGCGGAGGGCGTTTTCCGCGGGCGCCCTCGTCCCGAACGGCCGCCGGAGGCCCCAGGCAGGGCCCGAACGCAAGACTTCCTCGCGCCGTGGAGATGTCACGGCGGACAGGTTTTCGTCATTCTCGGCTTCGGAGGGCCCTCGCCAGTCCTGGGGGCTGTCGGGACCAGAAGCCGGTCCCCGGGGAAGCGGTGTGGCGTAGGCCTCCGAGGGTCCACTCTTTGGCAGCTGGCACGGCGCACGTCGCAGGTCGTGGGGCCCTCTCTGTGCGGCTGGCGGGCGAGGAAAGTGCCGGATCGGCACGCTCGGAGCGGTAAGCGGCAGCGGCAGCCTCGACCCTCAAGTGGCACGTTTCGTCGTCAGTCGGGGCCTGGGACCCCCACCCGCCCAGGATCGCGCAGCTCCGTTTCTCGAGCAGGGGATCGGCTACAGGATCGATCTGTGGTGGAGTCCACGGGCAGTTCGTAGAACTCTCGCAGATCTACGCATGGCTGGCGTATTTTGGTGGAAGGGTCGACGCGAAAATCAATCTTGGGGTACATCAATTCTGCAGTTGATCCCCCCGTCGAGCTTTCGGGGGCTCATCGCCGAACCATCGGCGGTGCATCGCCGATTCCAGGTCGCTGCCTCCTCCCGGAGCTGGGCCCTCCCCCGTCGACCCCTCTCCCGGCATGGGGGCAGAGAGAATGGCGACGGCAGCTCTTGCCGACTTTGATCAAGCAGTGGCGAAGCGTCCTGGCTCGCCTATAGCCCTACCAAACAATGTTCTAAGAACCTTATCTGGTTTCCACGAAATGTTCTTAGAACATTTCTGGCGGAGTCTGTCTTGTTTTGACACATCGGGTTTATGTTCTAAGAACATTGTTTTTGTCCTTAGAACATTTTTGGGTTCTAAGAACATGTCGTGGTAGGACTATAGGAATGCCGGGACGGTCGGTCCCTGCTCAATTTGAGCAGGATCAATTGTCGGTGCCGTCGTGGATGTTGTCAATGAGAGGCAACACAGCATCCGTCCAACGGTGGCCGCTGCCGGTCTTGAACAACGCTTGCTGCCGGCAGAACTCGAGGGATCCACGAACTCAGGCCTCCCCGCGTCGCTAACATATCACGACAGAACGTATTCTTTCTGTTGTTGCCTCCGGTGGCGCTCGCCATGCCTTGGGGCCGTAAAGAAACGACTCGGATCCAGTCCCAGGGAACTGGTCTAGGCTTCCATGGGTCCACGTGGGCAAAAACACGGCGCTGGAGGTTTGAGAGCTTGGCATATGGAAATTGAGTCTGACTCCGGTGTGGAACACTGTAGTGCACTAGTCTGTGATGTGCTGTGAGGCGGACAGTGAGGGGTCAGAAAAGTTGCAAAGCAGAGAAGCAAAGTCAAAATAATGGTAGCAAATCTTGAATCAAACCGTGGGAACCAGCACGCGAGGAAGGTCGAGACCGCATATCGCCCCCTTCTCCCCCTCCTCCCTTGACTCCCCCTTCTCACACCAACCCTCCTCCCCCTCCCCCGTCCTCTTCCCACCACTCCTCCTCTTCCTCCTCCCCCTCCTCTTTCCGCCGCTCCTCTTCTTCCCCCTCCCCCTCCTCTCTTTCCAGAAAACCTTTACCAGAAAAGGGCGTGGAAAGGGCCACCGCTGGGACCAGTCTGTCTGGACATCCCACTTTAGTCCGAAGGGGACGCGGGACCGCAAACTATGCGGAACCTGGCTGGCGAGCTTTCGCGCAGCATTGGCTGTAACGACGGAACAAGAGACACTTGCTCCTGAGCTATTGTGGCGACCGGGACGCTCCGCCTCCCACGGGCGCATTGCCATCTACCTCCTCTCCATTCCACTTCCTGCTCGTCCCCGCCTCGTCGTCCTTCGTCCCCCTCCCTCCCCCCTCCTTCGTCCCCCTCCTCCCCCGCCTCCTCGTCCTTCGCCCCCCTCCTCCCCCCCTCCTTCGTCCCCCTCCTCCCCCGCCTCGTCGTCCTTCGCCCCCCTCCTCCCCCCCTCCTTCGTCCCCCTCCTCCCCCCCCCTCGTCGTCCTTCGCCCCCCCCCCCCCCTCCTTCGTCCCCCTCCTCCCCCGCCTCGTCGTCCTTCGCCCCCCTCCTCCCCCCCCCTTCGTCCCCCTCCTCCCCCCTCCCTTCGCCCCCCTCCTTCGTCCCCCTCCTCCCCCGCCTCGTCGTCCTTCGCCCCCTCCCTCCCCCCTCCTTCGTCCCCCTCCTCCCCCGCCCGTCGTCCTTTCGCCCCCCCCCCACCCCTCCCTCCTCGCCACGGTCGCCGGCGGGCGGCGGCGCGCGCTTGCCGCCGCCAGAGCCCCGTCCGCCGCCGCCGCCGGGCCCCCCCCCCCCCCGTGTCGGGCCTGCACGCCCACGCGCGTGGAGGCACGTGCCGTAGGAGCACCTCCTCTCGAAAGCCTCGGATTCGCAGCAGCAGATCGGGCATCGGATTAGAACCTCGTCTCGGAAGCCCCAGAGCACCTACAGAGCAGCAGCATCAGATCAGCATCCTCCTCAGATTGGCAGCATCAGATCGAACCTCCTCTCGGAAGCCTCAGAACACCTACACAGACGCGAGCATCAGATCAGGAAGCCTCCTCCCGAAAAGCTGGGCCAGCGTTGTTTCTCGACCAGCTCGCCGGAGAGCTGGCCCAGTCTCTGGAGCACGTTCGCCCCTCCAGCTTTTTAAAACAACAGGAATTGGCCCCGGCTCGTTTCAAGAAACTTCTGGGAAGCAGGCCCCGGTTTCTTCTAAAACGGTCGTTTTCTTAATCGCATTGCCGGCTGTGTGCGCGACGGGAGAGAAGGGGGCCGGCTGCGCCGACGTTCGCGCACGAGCTGCCCGCGCGAGAGGCGGCGGCCCGCGGCAGCCACCGCGTAAGGTCGCTGTGCCACTGTGCTCGGGCCGGGCGAAAGGGGGGGATTGGGAAAGGGGGGGGGTTACGACATGTGCTGCATGCAGCTGGTTCATTAGCCCAAAACATACCCGGACCCGGGGTCAGCTGGGGTGAAAAGGGCCGCCCGCTAGAGCGTTTTCGGCCTTGCCGCCACCTCGTCTGGGTACGGGTCGGTGCCCGAAACAACCATACATACCCGGACCTAGCTGGGGTGGTGGTTGGGTCACCCCGTCTAGGTACGGGTATGTATGGTGGTTTCGGGAGCCGACCCGGACCCAGGGGGGGTGATGCCCCGAGGGCCCCTTGCCACCCCGTCTGGGTAAGGGTACGGGTATCTTTCGCGCTCGAGACTGGTTTCGGCCTCACCGAGGGGCCCATTCCTCGATGCATGGCCGCCTCCGGCGCCGGGAGGCGCCGGGAACATCAGCCACGTGAGCTGATTCTCAACCCCCCCCTTTGCTATCCCCCCCGTTTCGCCCGACCCGGTGTGCGCAAGACCCGCTCGTGCTCGCCGCTCGTGTTGTGTGCGGCTTCCCCCCCCTCCGTTTGCGGGCTGCTGCGCGCGAAGGGCCCGGCGCGCCCTCAGGCTGGATGCCTTCTTTGGGCGCCCGCGCACGCGGACACGTGCGTGACACACGCATGTGTTCGACGCCTTCCCTCCGGAGGGGCATCCAGCTGCCTGCGGCGAGTGGTCACGCCAGCCACCGCGCTGGCCCAGCACTGCTGGTGGGGAGTGTTCGAGGAGGGCACAGGCGGCCGTGACGTGTGACACCTCGCGTCCCGAGGCTTGGGAGAAGCGTGAGATATGGCAGGCTCTTCCACGCCGCGTCGGTGTGTTTCTCCTCGCGTCAGTCGTCGTCTTCCTCCCTTCCCCTCCTCCTCCTCCTCCTCCTCCTCCTCCTCCTCCTCCCGTCCTGCAGCTTCTTGCGTCGTAGCGGCTGGAGCCGCCCCAGACGTCCTGGGCGGAACGCGCCCCGGGACGGGTCCGGGGAGCAGCGGCATCGGCGCTTTCACTGCTCCCTCAGGTGGGGGCCGGCTTCGCCATCGGCCTGGCCGCCATCGGCTCCGGGGTCGGCCAGGGCATCGCGTCGGGCCGCTGCATCGACGGCATCTCCCGCCAGCCGGAGGTCGCGGACGACCTGAGGGGCGTGCTGCTCCTGTCGCTGGCCTTCATGGAGTCCCTGACCATCTACGGGCTCGTCATCGCCCTCGTGCTGCTCTTCGCCAACCCGCTCATCAAGTGAGGGCGCGCGAGCTGATGTGCGGCTCCGCCCTGTCGGGCGGCGGGCCAACGACGGCCCGCCTTGGGAGCGGTCGTGGCCGCCAGCGCGCGTGCTCCGGCTGTGTGTTTTGAAGACGTGTCTGTTTCATTCTCCCTCACTCCCCCCCTCTCCCTCCCTCTCCCTCCTCCCTCTCTCTCTCCCTCTCTCTCTCTCTCTCCCTCTCCCTCTCCCTCCCTCCCCCTCTCTCTGTCTCTCTCCCTCCCCCTCTCTCTCCCTCCCTCCCTCTCTTCCTCTCTCTCTCTCTCTCCCTCTCCCTCCCTCTCGCTCTTGCTCTTTCTCTCTCTCTCTCTCTTTCTCTCTTCCCGAATCTTGACGCACGCAGCTGCTTTCGGCCCTGCCGCCCAGGCACTCTCCTCGGCACATGGGCGCCGCGCGGCGCAGGGCGGCGCCGGGGGCATATCCCGGGCGCCCCGCGTGCTCCCATGCAGCCCATTTCGGCCGCTGTGCGCACAGGCAAGTCTGGCGCGGATCCGGGAAGCGCGCGAGGCCGGGCAGCGTGCCGGCGGGGGGGAGCAACCTCTTCGGCTCCGTCGGCCCCCCCTTCCGCGAGGGGGAGGAGGGGGAACGAGGAGGAAAGACGAAAGAGGAGGAGGAAAGAGCAGGAGGAGGAGGAGGAGGAGGAGGAGGAGGAGGAGGAGGAGGAGGAGGAGGAGGAGGCTCATGGGGGCAGCGTGAGGGGGGGGTGCAAGTTAAGGCTCAGTGGGCAGGTTGGCGTGCCGGAGCACGCAGCTCCGGGGCAGCGTGCGGGGGGGGGGAATATAGGCTCTCCGGGGGGGATACGCATATCGCCCCCCCCCCCCCCCAGTCGGCTATTTATGCATCGCCGATCGGGGCCCGGAGGCCCACCCCCTGCCCAGGACCATTCAGGAGGGGAAAGAACACACAGACACAATTAATCGTCGATTCCAAAGAAAATATGGGAAAATATGGGAAGTGTGGGGGGGGACAAACACCCAGAAAATATAGGAAAATATGGGGAATCCTTATATTTGTGTGTATTTATTTGTGTGTCCTGGGGCCCCTTCAACCATGCGGGCTCGCGATGGAGAGCCCATCGCCGATCTGCCGGCGATGTGTCGCCGACTCCAGCCCGCCCCTGACGTGGCCCCTCAGCAGTGGACATCGGGGGTGGGCAGAACCCCCAACAGTGACACGTCGATGAGTGAATCGTCCGTTTTCGGTTCTCGAGAGGGCGCCGTGGCTGTTCTTTTCCAGGCCTGCGCCCGCCAGGTTTGGGCCTCGGGCCGTTTTCGCTAAACCACGTTTTACTAAAGGGGGGTCTGTCCATCCCCGAGGACAGCCGTCAAACAGAAGATCGGGATCTGCGGGAGCCTCTTGTTGGCAGCTTACCTGGGCCATCTTGCGGCCTCGTTGGGGCCATCTTGGGAGACCTCACGTGCTCTGGTGGTGGGGCGCTCCTTGGACCCTCTCGGACCATCTTCGAGGACACAGAGCCCTATTGGAGCCATCTTGAAGCACGCTCGGGGTCTATTTGGGTCCTCTTCGGTTGGGCGCCCTCTTGGGGCCATCCTGGAGGATATCGGTCAACGAAGGGGGGGTCCCCTAATGCTTGCGCCCGTCTAGAGCGTCTAAAATCGCCTGTTGGGGCGCTCTTCGGGCGCTCTTGGGCGTCTTTTGAGCCCCTCCCGGGGCCCTCAACAAGGCGAGAAGGCAACACACACCCATTGATTTCTCTTCTGTTGAAGGATTGAAGCCACGTTGAGCGATCTTGCTCGCTATCTTGAGCAATCTTGGAGGTCATTTGAGCCCCCTGGGGCCCTCGTAGAGCCATGTTGGGCCATCTTGGACGCTCTAACGACCTGACCCCCCCCCATCCCGCCCAGACCCAGGGGGATGGTGTGGGGGGCAGGGGGGGAGGCCAAGACATTTCTCCCAGACGCAAGCTGTTTGGCTCGCTCCCACCCGTCCTCCCAACACATAAGTAGTACCCGAGTCTGAGCATATTCAGTGGTCGTCTTTGGATGGGCAGCTACTGGGAAACAAAACAGACCCCTGGGGCGCGACGCTGGGGTGAGTTGCGCCGCGCGTGGCAGGCACCACACGCACACCAGGCGCGCAAGGCGCCCCTGAGGCCCAAGCGTGCCAGGCACGCCTGGTGCTCAAGATGTGACACGTGTTCCACGTGCGCCAGGTCTGCCGCATGTTCCAGCCTCGTCGGGTGCGCCACGCCAAGGACGCGCGCAGAGTGTGCCCAGGTGCGCTCGCGCACATCGGAAACCAACGAACAATGGCGGCGGAGTGGCTATCATGATTCAGGAGGAAAAGAAACACACAGACACAATGGATCCTCGATTCCATAGAAAATATGGGAAAATATGGGAAGTGGGGGGGAAGACAGGAACCATGGGGAATCTTTTTAGTTGTGTGTATTTATTTGTGTGTCCTGGGGCCCCTGAAATTATGCCTGGTGGGCTTTCGCGCAGCAGACAACGTGCCAGCACCCCCGCCGCCCCTGTCAGCAAGCAGTGCAGTGCGAGGCCTGCCGAGGCGCCCAGGGTGTGCCTGCCGAGGCCCAGGTGTGTGCGGGCCTGCCAGGCAGCTGGTCCAGAGTGCAGGAAACGTGTGTCGGAGGTGGACAAACTTTCTGCCCCGACGCGTCGAGTCAGGAATTGGCAATTTTTTCGGTCCGCGAGAGGGCGTCGCGGCCGTCAGAGTTTTCGCGGGTCCAGGTCTGTCGGTTCTGGTCCCAGGCCGTTTTCACCAAGGGGAGGTTTACTAAAGGGAGGCTTGTCCACCGCCGACAACCACCGCCTGAGGGATCGACCTCTGGGGACCTCGGCAGGCGGTGGATATGGATATCTTCGTGCCTCCTGGGGCTAAAACATATCCGTCTGCACCGCCTGACGGGGTGCCAGGACGTCGATTCCCCGGTCCCTGGATTTGGATAAGTCCCCGCCTCGCAGAGCAGCACGTGAGTCTCAGTATTCGCAGAGGCCGCCGTTGAGAAGAATCGTGAGTCAATGCCGATGCCAGCTAGGTGCGCGACGCCCGCGAGGTGCGCCGTGCGTGACAGAGGATCCCCATGTTCCCTGACAACAGACAGTGCAAAGTGATCGCGGGGTGCCCTCGCATGAGCAAGATTTAGCCGCACAGTGTGGTTCGGCTTGTATGTTGGCAGGGGTGGTGAGCCTCCGCGCAGCAGGCAGTACGCCGCCCCCTCTTCCCTGCCAAAAGGCAGTGCAGATTTTATCGCTCGGCGCCTGCGCATGATCTAATTGTGCGGCACCGTGAACTTTGTATTGTGGGAAGGGATCATGTAGTGAGTGTGTGTGTGTGTGTGTGTGTGTGTGAGCCGCCCCTGGGTTGCCTCGCAGGTCACCTGTGACCTCGGCACCTTTGGCTTCTGTTTTCGCGTGCACCTTCGTCCCCAGCTTGCGCTGGGCACTGCTTCCCCCCCAGGCGCCGCCTCGTGCCCCGGCCTCCCCCCCGTGCCGACCACTCCCTTTGAGGTGGTCCCGCACTCGCCGCTCCTGGGTTGCCTCGCAGGTCACTTGTGACCTCGGCACCCTCGGCTCCTTTGCTTTCTTGCGTTCACCTTCGTCTCCAGCCTGCGCTGGGCACTGCACCTCCCCCCCCCCGGGCGCCTGTCTCCGGTTGCCGCCTGGCTGGCCTACCCCCCCAGCTGCCGCCTCGCCGCCGCTGGGCTCCCCCACCGGCGCCGCCCACCGCCGCCGCCTGGCCCCGATGTGAGCGGGCCCAGCTTCCTCGTCCCTCCCGCCGTCGCCGGCCTTCCTCCTCTTTCCCCCGCGCACTGCTGCTTGATTCGGATTTGTTCGTCCAGTTTCTGCTCTTCCGCCAGCGCAGTCACTCTGCCTAGCCGCCGACGCAAAATGTGTGTGTGTGTGTGTGTCTACGTGTTAGCGTTCGCATTCTGCACCAATCGTCTGGTCTGGCAGCTTTACAGGTTCTTACTTGCATCGTGTTTTCAGATTTCCCTGAGTCGAGCTATCGTGCTCCTCTGGTTCTGGCCGCTGCACGCTTTTTTGGTCATTACCTGTCGGTGATTCCAGGGCCTAATTAACACCAGGCTGCTGTTGCGCTTCAAATCACCCACGTCGAGCTCATGTTCTGGGGCTTCTTTGGCCGTTGCATAATGACATTGGAGCGCCTCGCGTTTTCTATTGCACCACCACCTGCGTGGCCATGGCTGGGCTGTTCCATCATGCCGCGTTCAACTAATTTCGCTCTCGCTTGGCACCTCCACCAGCCGACCGCGCCTGAAGTTCCTCTGCGCCGCCGGCTCAAGTGTGTGTGTGTGTGTGTGTGTTAGTTGTGTGTTAGTTGTGTGTGTGTGTGTGTGTTTGTGTTTGTGTTTGTGTGTGTGTGTGTTCTCATGGATCTGTGTTTTCTTCTGGTCAGGTGGAAAAGGTGTTGTATAGTGAGAGGGAGGCCGCTCCCCTACGCAAAGGGAAGAAGGGAGTTGGACGATGAAGCGCACTGAACCACCTGCGCTTTAAAGGGCTGGTGGGACTAGTTGGGCGCAGCCGATTAGCTGACCCGCCCCCTCTTTGCCCACGTTTGGGGGGGGAACCAGAAAACTTGGACCCGCTGAGATGCAAGAGGGGATTCGAGACGGGGGGGGGGCCCCGTAGGGCGGATCGTTTGTATCATTTGACTTCTCTTTTTTTGACGTGATTTTGAGAATTCTCTCTCTCTCTCTCTCCCTCCCTCTCTCTTTCCCTCTCTCCCTCCCTCCCCCTCTCTCTCTCTCTCTTTATTGTAAGGCGCCACAAAAGGATTTTCTTTTGTAAGGCGTCAGACAAGGAATCCTTTTGTGGCGGACCTTGAGGTCAAATTTCCAAGGCTCCAGAAAAAACAGAAAAAGCAGCAAAAGCAGAAAAAGCAGTCATACAATTGAGGAAACACTGTGTTTTCACAGGTTTCATTGGTTTCTGAATCAAAAATTCAATGGTTTTACTGTAAAAACATATGGTTTTCATTGATTTTCATTTTTTTTATCAAAAAAACAGTCTAGGGACCAGATGATCCCGGTGTCTGCACAGGGATCATT